TTTTCTGTAATCTCCTTCTTTACCTTGGACCAGTCCTGTCAGATTTCTGACCTCAGGGAATTTGTTTTTATTAAACAGAATGTGTCAATGAATTGAGAAGATCATTGTATACTAACCATTATTTTTGGATTTCTTCCCCCACCCCTCCATGCCTTTAGGGACTAGATTATCTGTGTTGTATGGCACTATCATGTTATAAGGGGTTAGTTATCCACATAAGTAGATTTGTGTCAAGGAAAGGGGTAAATTTAAAGCAGAATGGTTAATTCTGATTAACTTCCTGTGTGGATGCTCTTATTTCAGAATACAGTCTATTTATAATTCTAAGTTGAAATTCTAATAATAATTTTAATAACCAACTAGTTCAGAACAAGGCACTCTTAGGGGATGGGCTGAAAAACAGTTTATCAGAGGGTAATATAAGTCACAGATTTACTCTGTGTTACTTGTTCTGTTGTAACCGCCTATGGGCATGTACATACTGGGTGTGTCTGCACATGAAAATAATGCGATGCAGTAAACTCTGGTGCATATTGTGCTGGAGTTTGTTGCTCCCAGCTGCTGTGTTTATACCTGCTTCTGGGACTGAAGCATGTTGAATTGGATTGGAGCAGCCCTGGCTGGCAGGAGGCCTGGAGGGTCAGCCTGCCAGCCTGGGGCTGCTCCGACCTGGCTCAGTGTGCTGCAGAAGGTCTGGCAGGGGCGTGAGGTTGCTCCTGTGGGGCTGGCCAGCAGACAGCCGCTGCACTGAAGCACGCTCATGCCCCAGCCAGCCCTGTCAGTGTCTACACGTGTGTTGCTGCACACTGAAAAACGCTGCCGTAGGATCGTACTTGTGTTTACAAGTGCTAATCTCTGGTGAAGTTAATTAGTTTCCTGTGGGGTAATAGGGCTACACATGTACATGCTGCAAATTTAGCATGGCGCTAATTAGGCAGCTGTGCAGTAAACATCTTTTGTAGCTGCACCCACTCTTTGCTAAGTCAAAGCTAAATCTTGGTAATTTATCCCTCTTTTATTAGGAGTTAAACAGCTGTCGTTTAGCTTCCACATAATGAAGGGTTACAATGTGTACACCGGCAGTTATCACAGGGTGGTTGATGTGTGGAAAAATCCCACTCTTCATCTAATAGTAAATTGTTCAGCTTTCCATTATGTTTAATCTGGAGTAAGAACATCCACACAGGGAGTTAATCAGATAAAACTGTTCTAAAATAACTGCCTGTGTAGAGGAGTCCAAAGCGTTTTGTTAAATCCTATTTTCCATTCATGCTGCCTTGGTTTTAATGAACTATAATCAAAGTGTACGGTTCGCTTTAGGGCCACATACAAGCGTTATGTTTCTACTGAGAGAATCCCTGTTCTCCTAATAGAAACAACAAGTGTGCAAGCATTCATGCTGTTTGTCGTGGACCAAAAATGGTGGTTCCGGGAGAAAAAGCCTGACTCCAACCCAGTAGAAATGGCTTCTGGTGAGTTTCTCCCAGGAAAATGAATGTTTCTACACCTCCCTGTAGTTTAACTCCTCCTAAGGACCAGGAGGGGATTATGCTGTGGGGAAAGGTTTCCTTACTTTCTGGAGACTGGGCTCACCTTGGTCTAGAGAATGCACCAGGGGGCAGTTGCTCCTGCCCTTCCCATAGATGGGGAGGGGAGGGGAGGGGAGGGGAGGGGGGGGGGGGGGGGGGGGCAGCTGCCAGCTGCTTCCCACATGTTGAGGTCTCTGGTGTGAGGAGAAGGCAGGGGTTTTGTGGTGCTGATTAGTTTGTTTGGCTCCTGGGAGCCAAGGGCAGGGAGCAGCACTGCAAGCCCCTTGCCCACTTCTCACACCAGGGACCCTAGTGTGTGACATGGATGGGAGGGGTGGGGAGCACCAGCCACTGCTCCCCTGCCTCTTCCTTACACTTAGTTTGTGGAAGAGGCTGGGCAACTTGCCAGCTCCTTTGGCTTCGTCTTGCCACCCAAACCACCTACCTGGCCAATAGGGGTAGGGATTGGAAAGCTCCCAGGCCCAGAACTGGCAGTGGGTAAACTATTCCCTGCCTGGTTCCTGGTACCCTGGGCTTTAAATGCCACCTCCACCACCCAGCTGGGCAGCAGGGGTAGGCTTGCAAAATCTGGAAACTGGGTTTGGGGAGGCTGTCCTAGCTGCCCCTGCCATCCAGCTGTGGGGGTGCCAGGAGCTGAGCAGATCAGCACCCCTTCCCCCGCAGCTCCCTGCCCACTCCCTGGACTGGAGTCCCCTCTCTGAAGGGAGAAGAGTAGGGGAGGGAAGTTTGCCAGGCTGCTACTCCACTTAACTCCCAGGCACTGGGAGACAACTAGAGGATAGCCCTGGTGCTCCTTGCCCACTTCCTAGACTAGAGTGCTTGGTCTGAGGCATGGGCACAGAGCTTTTCCCCACTGCTCCTGTCCTCTCAGGAATGGGAGGACTGGAGCAGCCTCTGTTCCCCATGCGTTTCCCCAGGCAGGGATCAGTGCAAACAGCAAGGGAGAGGGGGCAGATGAAGGCTGCAATGCCTGTACTGCTCTGTCTCCCGGAATCGTTTCTAGTGGAAATTTTTAGCAGAAAGCTCATTTTCTAAAGGAAACAGTAAAGGGCATTCCCATGCAAAGGAGTTTGTGGTAAGATGTTTTGGGACTCTACAAACTGCAAGTAGAATGGCCTGGGTTTTTTAAAGGGATGCAACTAGAAGGTCTCTCTGATTGAAAAGAGAAATGGCTTTTTAGAAAAGATGTGCTTATGATTTTGATGCAGTTCTGTATCTGGCACTGTATAGTGCAGACCTGTAGACATACAGACTTTATATTGGTGGGGCTGTGTTAGCTGGGGTGTGATGTTTTTCTTTTTTTCTTTCTTTTTTTTTTTTTAACAGGAGGTATATACTCAAAGAAGCCCAAGTACTCAATTATACCAGTATGAAAAGTTCCTTATACCAGTAAACTTTCTTTTTTAACTAGATACAGTCTTAATTTTTAAAAAGGAAAAAAACCCTTGCCTTACGGATATGGACAGATGTAACTTTAAACTGTTTTAAGAAGGGAAGAGGCGTGTCTCAAGCACTTTGGTTTTACTGTTAGGTCTGTCCATTCCTATACGGGTATAAATAAGCTAAAAAAGAACTTTAACACTGTTTGATTTAGGTTTAAAGTTACAGAGGTTTAGCTCCACTTAAAGCTGTATAGGGGAGCAGACAGTATATAATTACATTGGAACAGCTTATAGTGGTGTAGTCGAATAGTAGTATACAGGTTTCCCTCGCTTTATGCTGTACACGTTCCTGGAACATTGTGCATAACTCCAATTCGCATAAAGGGAACCCACTTTACAGTGTAACAAGTAAGGGTACGTTCCAAGACTTCAACTGTACTGACCCCATCGACTGTACGGACATGGTGTTGCGACGCTCCCAGGACAGCTACATCTTCAGAAGCATGGGCACCAGCTACCCTGAGCGGCAGACACGGGTGCTACTGCCAGGCAGCTTTGTGGCTCACAGCTCTTGGGGTGCCGCACTGATGGGGCCAGACCAGGCCAGGCTGCAGGGGCTGGTGCTGCAGCCTGGCTGGGGCACTCTACCCAACTCAAATAATTTTTTCTTCCTCCTCCTATGGAGTCACTCCCACAGCGCACTGCACAAAGCAGCTGGCTGTGGCCTTCCACCACACCGAGTGCATAAAAGTGAATTTACTTTGCAAATAACAAATTTTTGGTATAAAAAGGGTCATCTCATAAGAGTGAATTCGCACATACAGAGCCCACATAAAGCGAGGGAAACATTTAAATTATGTATGTCCATACCCTATGCGTGGCAAATCTTTTTCTTTTTCTACTGTCTTGTAACCACTGTCTTAAAGTGCAGTCATCAAGGTGTTGAACATCAACTTTCATTGTAGCTAATAGAAGTGGCAGTGCTCATGGTTCCATGAGTGACTGGGCTGGCAGTGTGTTGGTCAGCTGGGGAACTGTAGTCACTGTTTTTCTATTCCCTGCTACAATGATTTGACACATTTGTAATTCCTTTGCTGTCATCCACATGTTTGTCACCATAAAAAGATACACAAGCGTTTTCTAAACCGACATAATGTGTTTCATAGCAACTGCTACATAACTAAATACTAATCAATGTGCTCTGCTTGGAATCTGGTGTGGATTTTGATACAAAAGCAATTTTACTATAGCTATTGAATATTTGACCGTTAGAATTAAAATGTTATCTTCCCTGCGATTTCTTATACTCCATATTTTAGGGCAGACTTGTGTTTTTTAAATGAGACTGTCTGTCAAGGCCAGATGCTCTCTGTTTTCCACAACTCTGGGCATGTGAATGCATATAATGGGCGTGTACATCAGTCTTGCTGTTCCCTTGCTGTCTGCAATTTTCTGAGGATAAGGAATAATGAAAAATGTTCTGGGTGGCTGCTGGAGATTAGGGATGGGAACTTCCTATAACAAGTTAGTTGATTTGAATTTAATCAAATCAGTAACTTTTAGTTACTACCATCTGATGACTTTGAGTAGCCTATATGAAATGCATTCTATGATCTCAGTCCAGTTCCCCATGGACAAACTATGTTCATCTCCTCCTTGCCCTTTGGCCAAGAGATAGCTAACTGAGTTACGTTTTCACTCTCTAGGACATTAGCTGACTGTTTTTGTTGGTTCCCTATTTTGTAGATGAGTGGAGTTCTTTCAGAAGAATGATCAATCTATCTCTCTCAAACTTCATTTTACAAGGCAAAATTGAAATCCAGTGTAGAAGAACCCTAACTTGAATGCTTGCTAGGCTTCCATATTGTGCAAGTCATGTATTAAGGATACTGTGTAGGTGCCCTTAAAATGGAATCTTTAATAGGACACTACAGAGCTAAGTAATTTGAAAGCTATGTATTATTTAGTGTATGTTCAGTCAATGTTTACTATTAGGTTTGTAAATATATATGTTCATTTTGAATGTGTAATTGATCTTTTTCATACCATCTAAATGGCTTGTATTCAGAGGTTGGAGCTATCCTGGAAGAGACAGAAGCCTGTGACTGGTGGAGTCTGGGTGCCATTCTGTTTGAACTCCTCACAGGGAAGGTAAGAAATGGTGCAGTGTATAACCAGATAACATAGTTGAGATATCTATATTTCATCAATCAATTATTGTAAGTATTTACCATCCAATGAGCAAAGTGGATTTAATCTCCTCTCCTCCTATTTTGTCTTCTCATATGAGGCAGTCTAATGTCTGAACTAATGCAGGCCTATAGCACAATCCATTATTTTAAAAGTTAATGTATGTGGCTAATATGCTTCTATGATGATATTTGGCAAATACTCAAACAGGTCAAAAGAAAAATACTGCTCATCAGGAATGTTAATTGATATTCTAAAATAATTAGTATTTGGCCACATCCAATCAGTTGATTTATTGTATAGCCCTAGTAGTTTAGATTTGAAGAACATGTAGTTTATATGGTTCAAAAGGATTGTAACAACGGAGAAGGCCATTGTAATGTAGCAGAAGTAGGAGAAGGGTGTGGCTACAAGCAGATTACAGTAGAACTCATATACTTCCAGGAAGAGTTCAAGTACCTTTATACACTCCTCTGACTTTTGCTTTATATTGAGGCTATGGGAGATGGGTGTCTTTCTTTGTGGACTTTGAGTTGTTTGCAAGGAATCATTTAGTCCCAGAATCCAGAACCCAGATAAAAGCTAACACTGTATTTAAAATTATAGTCCTTTCATGGTCACATATATTATCATGTAACCAAGCATAACATAACAACATGAGATGGGTTAAAAAGTGTTCCTG